ATATATATATATATATATATATATATATATATATATAAGTGAGGTGCAAACCTCACCTCACAAGCCAGCCGGTTTTGTGGAGTTGAGTTAGGCTTAAAAAACCACTTTCTAATATGGTATCAGAGTCATGGTTAGAGCCTATCTTAGCAAGTTCTAAGTGGGATTTATGTTTTCGTCCGTTGTCGGGCCGCTATCGGACGATCATTAATTTATATTATCACGCACGAGATGATTTATAATATATAAGTGAGATGCAAACCTTACCTTACAAGCCGATTTTGTGGAGTTGAGTTAGGCTTAAAAACCCACTTTCTAATAATATTTGCCAATTTTCTATATATTTTTAAAAGCTAATGATTAAAAATATTTTTTGAGACCTAGGGGATTTAGATGCTTTATCTTAGGTCATATTGATCGAGTAAGACAGAATCTTATGTATCTTATTCTCAATTATTCATCTCCTTTTTATTATTGAAAGTCTTACGTGGGTATTTTCTTTTAGCCCAAAGAATTTCCTACGCCTCAAAGAAGAATAGCATTTCCTACGCCTCAAAGAAGAATAGCATTTCCTTGAAAATCTTAAATTTCTGAAACCTTATTTTTAAGTAGAGTTTTTAAAAATGATTGGATATGAAAATATAGAAATGAAGTTATGCAGTTGAAGAACACATGACAATGACATAATTTTATATCCGAAAACTTTTACAGAGAAGCAGAAAGCAACGTAGATTCCATTAACTACAGAATCTTCTCCAGCATTGATTGATAACCACATAAAATTGTTGAAACAATGTTGTTACTTAGGTGGAAAGAATAAGAACTAATCGATTGAGAAGAACAGAAAATAAGGGTTAATATATTTATGGAATTTGTAGAGCCTTGAATATTGTGTTTGTAGGTATAGCTGCACTGAATCTCTGAGAAGTGATGATATAAACTCACTCATATGTTGCTTTCCAGGTTCTATTATGATCCCATCCAAGAAGTAGTGGTAATTAATAAATCCTCTGTATACCACTCAATTCCACCATCACCACCCTCTCTTCCTTTCTTCCTCCTTTTTCTCTTTCTCTCTTAGATCAGAACTTCAACTTTTAGGTGTGTGGTGGGGGCACACTATTTTTCTTGCATTGACTAAAATTTATCCTTTTCAAAAATATAATAAATCAACCAAATTCTATGATTTTCTTCAAGTATATATATATATATATATATATATATATATATATATATATATATTATCAGTTATGAGTTACAAAATACAAAGGCCTCTTTGAATGTTTTCGAAAAAAAAAACAATGCTTTTGGGCCTGGCCAACAAAACAACTCATAAGACATTTGAATCTTCTCATTGAAAAAAAAAAATCACAGGAAAAACAAACTTATATGTTATACATAAGCACAACTATAAAACACGTATAAAGGGTATCAAAGGCTCAAGTAAATAAAATGTGTCTAACCTTAAATTATATAAAATTAATTATTCTTATTATCAACATTCAAAATCGTAGGAAAACCTGATAATTGAAATTAAAAATTAAATCTTTCTATTAGCAATAATTAAATAGACATCATGTATATATAATGCTATAAGAGGGCATGCAACCTGGAAAATAACTGGAAAATAAGGAGTTCCAAATTGTAATACACAAACACGAAGGTATGAGAATTTGATCATCAGATGGCAAAGAAGAAAAAACAGAGAAGAGAAAAAAAGATATACCTTAACTTTGTCTTGATTAACAGTTGAGATTTGAGTTCCAATCCAAAACAAGAAAATGAATATATAAACAAGGTGGGGGTAATAAAAGTCAAAGAAAGGAGTCAGTTTCAATGTTTCAATAACTTTATTTAATGATGAACACGTACTTCAATACCTTTATTTATTAATATTAAATATTACTATTGTTAATATGACATGCATTATCGGTTACAAAATGAATTAAATTACAATAGAACAAGGATGACTAGCATCCATTCTGTAAGCACACTGTTTTTAGAACTGTTTCTAGATTACGTCATGAGGAACTAAAACATTTAGATGTTTTTAAAAGTCATATAATTTCATTCAAATTATTGAATTAATCAAATTAGGCTTTAAAATCATTTTTAGATATCAATCCATTATTTGTTCTTGGATCATCAATCTTATAGGTTTCTCTATATAATTTATTTTATTAATTTTTCTTCATCCAATTTGTTCAGAAAATCTATCTAAATTGATTATCATTTCTGTATATAATCTGCTCAACAATTTGAAACACTTTTTAATTTAATATTATGTAAATATGGAGATTAGCTGATCTAATAGAATCAATAAATTATTATACCCTATTTTAATCAGTGAACTTCTTTACAGGCTTTAACTTTTTTTTAAGACATTCCTTTAACTTCAGAGACTTTATAGGTCTAGAACTCACAGATAGTAGAACTCACAAATACTAAGAGACTGTTTTAAATTGAAACAAATATTAAGAATTGAAGTCTGAATACCAAATAGAAATAATAAAATTAAATAATAGATTAAATTTTTTTACAAATTCATTATTTTAAAATTTTAAGTTAGATGTGATCTTTTATATGGATTGTATATAACTTGTTATTGAATCTCCTTAATTTTTTATTAACAAAAAAATTAAAATATAGAAAGAATATGGAGTGTTTCAACCTACATATGAACTAAAACCAAATAAGGATCCTATTTTTCTGTATGTAAATGTCAAAAAAGAACCCCATGGAACATACTCTTACAATAAAATCAATCTTAATTAAGGAGATTACCACAATTTAAAGAAAATTCATGTGGAATTGGAAGGAGGAAAATAATTTGGGTAAAAGTGAAAATTAGTATGTGAGCCAAAAGAAAGTGGAAATTTTGGTGGAAAGGACATAAAATTATTCAATGATACCTTCTCAGTTAAATGGAAATAGACATCATGAACAACACAAAATATAATTGTGGAAAGACACATTGAAATCTAAATATGGGATTTGAGAAATCCAAACACGAGTTCTCTAAATTCATGATCTTTCTCTTCTTTCCACTGTCACTTGACAATTTAAAAAACATAACATACTTCTTTTACATATGCAGAAAAGTTGAATATAAATTAGGTGATAATTTTCTCAAAAACGTCAACTTTTTAAATATCTCAAAAACACAATTAATCATGACATGGATAAATGTTGAATATCTCAAGATGATTCACAGACAAATTCGAATCAAATACAAGCTTAAAGGTTTAGTTCTACCGCATCAAACTACTATTGATCAATCCCAAAATGGAAACGATTGGTTGAAACCTCCAATATCAGAAGGCAACTTTGGGAGTTATCCATCAAATCTGAAAATATGTAGTTCAACACATTTATATTTTTAATCCACACCAAAAAACTACAAATCCATTGTAAAATACGAATGGGGAGCTTAAGTACCATTGTTTTTACCATGTAAATACCGCTCATGAGTTTGTCTTTTAGGTTTTTTATTCTTCATGACATGCTTTCCATGTCAACTTTTATTAAGAAAAGACCATTTTTTTCACCAAATACCTTTTATTTTGTTTAATCATCTGAAGTAGGAGAAGGGTTTTGCTGATTGGGGGGGACAGTTGAACTTGGAACGAGAGGATAGATTTGCAGCGCATGAGGAATTTCAGCAGCAACATAAGGTGGTGGTGGGCTTGCAACATGTTGAGGAGGTGGCATATGAGGAACATTCTCAGTTGGTGTTGGAGCATTGCCTGGAAGCAATGGATGCATCATTGTGTTTTTGTGAACCCTAGGAATGGGGGCAATATCCTCAAGAAAATCAAACACATCAGTCCTGGCAATTGCAGATGCAACGTCAGACTTCTTGATTGTACTCCTATTGTTGTCCTCGGCGTTAGCCCAAGCTTTCATTGTGAGCTCCATTATGAACAGTTCACAGGCCTTGGCAAACACCACAGGAGCCTCAGCTGAAACCAACTTCACATCTGCATCACTCTTCATGATCTTCTTAACCCTCGACAGAGGTATCCTGTGTTGATTCCTTAAATCAGTGCTCTCCTCAATTTCCTTCAGTTGTTGTGCCCAAAAGCTCTTCACTTTTTCCTCCAACTGATCCTGTTGTTGCTGTTGTCGGTCCATGCTTCGGAGAGCATGGTGATTCTCTCCTGGGTAGGGTGAAGGAACAGAAGGACCAGCAGTCTGAATAGGAGGATTGGTAGGTTTGGACTGATATTGGTTCTTGTTATGTGCTTCTTGTGCAGGAGCAGAACCAATTCCTCTTCCTAGTTGACCATGCTGGTTTTGCTCCATGCTAGCTGCTCTAATTGAATTCAAATTAATCTCTGAACAGTCATAGAGCAACAAAATTCAAGAAAAGATGATCATCATATATGCCCTAAGAAAAAACGTTAAGTAATCTCAATAATTATTGACATTGGTCTGAGTCAATTGATTCATATAGAGCATGTGTATCATATAGATCTTTGAATCAAGAAGACTCATGTTTTAAGTGTGGAAAAAAATCAGTAAAAGTAAAGATCACACATGCTGTGAGAAAAATAAATTGACATATAGTACAATTCCATACATCATATTTGCCAATTCAGACATAACCTGACTCTACAAACCCATTACATTACCCTTTTTGGGTTATGTAAATGTCAAATGTGTCAAACCTTTAAATCATGTAAGAAGTTTATGTAAATTGTCATTTGTCGAAGTCAATAATGATAGAGCTAGAACATGTCTCATATACCTCAATAAATGAAGAAGACTCCTCAAAATACTTGTAAAAAAATAAATGGGAACAATATATAATATTATTTCACGCATCATGTTTGCTAGTATACATGATTATATCTCACAAACTCATTTCATATAACCCTTTTAAACCCAATTAACAAAACAAATGAGTTGAACTTTAATCCTCATAAAACTAAGATTAAAATTAATGTTTTTTCCAACTTCTAGCACTGATTTAAAAAGGAATCAAATTTATATAACAGCTGCAAAATAACAATCACCACATATTAAAAGTGATGAGCCTTCGCAATACCTTTTAAATTTGTTATTGGAAAAATTAACTAACAAGACTAATTATAACAAACATGTGGGTAATGAAGTAAAATCGAATTTGAGGTAGCAAGAAAAAAAAACCAAAGAGAGAAAGAGAGAAGTAGGGTTATACCTCAACTTTATTTTGAGCAGATTGATATTTCAGTTCCAACCAAAGAGAGAAATTGGAAAAGAAGATGGTAAAGAAAATGAATGGACATAATTCTTTTAGTTTAATTATATTAAAAATTTTATGTGTCAAACATGCTTCATGTTAGCATTTGAATTGTTTAAATCGACATGTTCTCTAGAAAGTGGGCTTGAAACCTAACTCAACCCCACAAAATCTTTGCACTCCACTTATATATTATAATTTTGCCTTATCTCTAGTCGATGTGGGACTTCCAACACACCCTTTTGCTATCTATCGCTAGGATAGACTTTAACCATAGCTTTGATACCATATCAGAAAGTGGGTTTAAGCCTAACTCATCGCCACAAACCGACTTGTAAGGTGAGGTTTGCACCCCGTTTATATATTATAATTTTGCCTTATCTCTAATCAATGTGGGACTTCCAACACTTTTTTTTTCCTTTTCCTCCACCTCCATCTCTAACTCTGATAACCATTGTTATCGTCATGTCACCGATGATCATTCGTGTCACTAGTGAACAATATCGTTGTGTCTCTGGATCACCACTAAGCCACCTCTCCTCATCCTTCTCTTCTTCTTCCTCCTTCCCTTATCTTCTTCTTATCTTTTTCTTCTCACTTATCTCCTCTAAATATACAAAAAAAACTTTACTAAACTGAACAAGAAATTTGGGGACGAATTTATCAACAAAATGTGTCTATCAATAATTGCAATAATAAGGAGCTGACAAACATATTCGTTGATAATAAAATTTGTAGTTTATTAACAGATGATACCGATGACTTTCGTCGTCGATAATTATGATTCTAAGTTACTAACAATAATATTTTTTCATAATACTAATTATAATTTATAAACATATCTTTCTCATAAATTTTACGGACAATTTCGTACTTAAAAAGTTATTTATAAGAAAAATCTATTGATAAGTTTGAATTTATTGATTGTTAATTATGTGAAATTGTTATAGTATTTCTAAAGAAAAATATCATGCAAATGGTTGAAGACAAAAAGAAATTGCGAATAAAAACTATATATATTATAAACACAAATGTTTTGAAACAAAATCCAATATAAATTGCACGAAGAAAACACACACATAAGAATATATATATATATATATATATATATATATATATTATATAAAGAACTTTTTTGGTCTATTAAAGAATTGTTAAACCCCACACAAACCCATTTTTAAAAGTTTAAAATGTGAATTTGAATCTTATGTTTAGTAAAAATAGAAAATAAAACAATATAAAATGAAAAAATTCCTCAAAATTTATTGTTTTAATATTTTAAATTAAAAATAATATAACTATTTTCATAAATCTCCTTAAAAAACTCAACACCCATTCCATATCTACTTCAAACTCAAGCACATGAAATTATATTAGAAGAATTTTACTTTTCACAATTAAAATCACTTATAAAACTGAGAATTTGATATTAACGATTAAAGTGTCCTCTAGCACAAATTAGCAATAAAAGGACAATCATATTTATTTATCTATCTATTTCTCTATATATAATATGCTATTGTGGCATTTCCATGAAACATAAACAACAGCACGAAAAAGTTACAATCACAAAATTAAAATAAAAAGTCAACGAACAATATACTTTATACCTAAACACTATCGAATTCGACTATGAGACATGGGAAGCAGAAAAATACTAAGAGGTGAAAGGAGAAGATATACCTCAACTCTGAATACCACAGATTGAGATTTCAGTTCCAAACAAGAGAGAGAAAAGAAAATGATGACTATAAGAAAATTGCAATGAAAGTCATTTATGTAAAGAATTGAGTTCTTTTAATTGCTGCAATAAATTTTTTTAATTTTCAACTATTTTTTCTTAATGTTGCAATAAATTTTTAACGTTGAAATAATTTATTGAAGTTACTGATTTAATCAAATGCTCCTTTAACCATTTATGACATTATAAGTTCAATTCAAAGCAATTGCACTTGTACAATCAAATGCGGGTTAAAAATATTTTTAGTCCTGTTTTTGGTTTTCATCCCTTTTTCAAAATAAGGTACATTTTTTTGTCTTCATTTTTTTCGAAACTCTAGTTTTAGTCCTTGAAACTTTGGTTTTAGTCCTTGAAACTTTGGTTTTAGTCATCGAAAACTAACCTCGAAAACTACCACATTTTTAACGGTGTTAGTTTTAGAGGACTAAAACCAAAATTTTGAAAAGAATGAGGACCAAATTGTACCTTATTTTGAAAGAGGGACGAAAACTAGAAAACAATAGTTTAGGGACTAAAAACATATTTAACCCTTGTAAATATGATAACATGTTTTATATTAATTGTAGTTATAAGTGTTAGGAAAATCTCACGATACACACACTCAAATATTTTTCGATTGAGTCTTATTATTCATTGTAATTGAAGGGCTTTAAATAGCCATAACACTTACAATATTACAAGGAATAAAAATAAAATATCAACTATCTTAAAAATAAAATCTGCTTAATCTATCATAAAATAATATTGTACCTAGATAAATCGAAAATCATAATTATGTGTCCCTATTTTATCTGTATCAAATCAAACTAAATATTACTATACCCAAAAACTAATAAAATAAGATTTAAACAAAATTATTAATAAAACCCTAAAATTTAAGTTTATCCCAACAAACTCCCCCATAAACTTAAATTCTTCCTTCCTTCGTTCGATTTTCCATGTGCATCATCCTACTCTGGGTTTGCATCTTCTCTCCAAGATTTTCAGCTCCAATTCATACAACCGGTTCTTCTTTGCTTTTACCTGGGTTGTTAGACGACCATGCTTATCCTTTAAATACAGTAGCTGATTTTCATAAAAATTGAATTACCTTTTTCAATTATCTAGATATCATACTGAGTTGGTAGAAATCTCAATCTCTTCATCCACTATTCTTCTGCATCTTACACATAGATATCTCCACCGTGATAAGATATTGTCCACTTTGGGCCAAGTCCTCACGGATTTGCTTTTGGTACCACCCCAAAAGGTCTCTTATCAATGGAGATATGTTATGTGTATATAATAAACCCATGTTCATCTCTTATTTTATCCGATGTGGGACTTTGTTTGTACTCAACAATAAGACGTATAAAAAGTGGATGCAGTAGCATTTTTATAATAAAGAAGAAATTTTTTTATATTAGTTCTAGTTATAATAGGTATAGAAAGTGGACCGATGACATTTTTGTAATACATAAAAAAAAAATTATACTGATTTTAATTACAACTTATATAGAAAATGAATGCGGTGACATTTTTGTAATAAATAATAAAACTTTTTATATTGATTCTAATTAGAATTGGTATAGAAGATGGTGGCTGATTTGCATAGCTTTTATTGGTGTTTTACCAAGTTGTAATGGTGGATTGAGGGTTTTGAGTTTTGAATTGTGGATACGGAGTTGTGTGTGGCTTCAATGTGTAGTGATTGTGGTTGTTGTTCTTACAGGTTGCAGAGACAGATCTATAGTGGTTACATGATATTGTGTAATGGTTTTTGCGTTATTCATGACTTGAATCTGGTTCATGGTGGTTATTGGTGCTTGGTTGTGTTCTTTATTTGCTTGTGGCTCACAGGATGGTGGTCGTCTCTATGATGCAGGGTTTCTATGACATTGTTTATGGTTGTAACACTGAGATTTTTGTAACGATGAACTTCCAATGTGCAGAGCTATGAAAGGATGGTGTGTTTTGGTTCTGTTTCAATCTACGTTAGATAGTTGCAGTGGTATGAGGTGATGAGGGAAGAAGTTGCTCTGGTGGTCTGGTTCACCATGGAGAGGTGTTTGAGCAGTGGTGGCACTTTAAACATTAGTTTCACAAGGGGATTGGATGATGGGTTCACTATTAAAATATTTTTTTTATATTAGTCGTACGTTTAACTAGTATAAAAAGTAATACTTTTACATTACTTCTCTAATCAGTATAGAAAATAGATATTTTTTATAATCCTTCTTTTATATAGGTATATCAATCTTAGAACCGATAAAAAAAAGTTTTTTTTAACGATAAAAGAAGTCTTTTTTTTTCATTATTGTGTAAATTAATTCTCTCACAATCTTAATTATTTCTTCTTTGAAAATTTTAAAATGTTTTTTTCTCTTTAACTTTTAGAAATAAACTAATTAAGGTATGTTTTGTCAATGTAATGAAATTTATAAATTATTTTTTAGTGATTGAATTGATTTATTTACACTAAAAATATATATAAACTAGTGACTCAAATATATAATAACCATTGGTAAATTTTTCTGTAAATTGTTAAAAATACATGTGCTACATGTGTGTTATTTTTTTATAATAAAAAAATAATTATTTATTATTATAATTATAAAATTAAAATATAAATATTTTTAATAATTTTATTATAAATATTTTTTATTTATTTTATAGTAATTTTTTAATTAAAAATATTAAGTTTAAAAACACGATTAAGTTAAAAAGTTGGCAAAATTTAAAAAATTCATTTAAAAGGTAAAATTTATAAAATAATTATTTTAATTTAAAAAAATTATTTAAAAATGAAATAATAAAATAAACTTTTCCATAAAAAAGATAAATATTTTTTATATATAGATATAGATAACTTATTCATAATTAATTATTTCAATTTTATATGGTGAAGAGGTAATGTAAGAAAATTGCATCAAAAGGACTCAAACATACTTATAAAATATCATTTTTTTTTTCTATAGATTATTTTTTGCTATTTGCTTTTTTAGACTTAAAAAAAAAATCTTACGCATGATGAAAAATTGGAAAAGGTGAAGTCTCACGTAATAACAATGGATCACACTGTACATTTTATTTTTAACTATTTAGATGGTGTTAGCGAAATGATTAAATTAAACACATAATTCATTAAAATTAGAATTTGATTCAACACTAAATCAAAATAAAGGTCAAATTAAACAAACTATACAAAATCAGTATTTAAGCTTTTTTCTTTCTTAAAAATCTTACTGATTTTAGTTATTTTTACATTATTTTTCTCAACCTTAGTTTATATAATTATACGTTTTATATAGAATGAGTATGAGAGAAACTCAGGCACATTTTTATTACATCAGAAAGCGTAACTGTACACCAGAAACCAGAAACATAGTAAATCCTATCTAATGAACAAACAACTACTACCAGTCGCACTTTTCTCAGTTACCAAAAGGTATTTACATGGTCCCTTGTGCATGCCTTACAGTCATCACTCCATTAACACATCACACCATACTGTACTCCAAGATGAATCTAGTACTCTGTGGCTGCAAGAACTGCTGATCCCTCCACCTGATCATTCATCCAAGTTCATTTATGGAGGGAGCAACAGAGTCAAGACATAAACCATGAATGCAAAAATAAATTTTGGAAGTCAAGCTGTAAGTGATTAAATAAATAAATAAATAATATTTTTGTGTGGTGAAGTTTCCAATTTCTTTCTTGTTAACCCAGCCAGCCAAAGACGTCGTACCTAAACCAGACCTGCCAACCACTTGAGAACCAAATCAAATATACATTCTAATTTCGCTGTTGCGGATGTTTCAAGGAGAACTATCACTATATTAAAATTTAATTGCTACTTGCAATCCTATTTGCATAATTAATTTCTACTCTAACCTTTTTAAACTCTAGAAACAGATGTGGAGATCGAGTTTAAGTTAGTCTAACCCATTCTTTTTGGAAACCTATCCTTTTTTATTTAGTGTAATGTTGCTGTATTCATGGTGTTTTTATGAACTCATGTTCTGGTGTTAATAATCTCCAATTACTATTTGGACTGATTTTCTATTCTAAATAGAGGAAAAGAATATTTTGTAGAGAGAACTGAGAGTTTTACCAGCAATAATACTTAGACTCTTGTCATCTATTTACCTTAAAAGTCGCACCCCAGATTTCCTCTTCTTCGGCAGGTACTGCAGTAATCTTGTTCTTTGGATTCTCATAGCATCTCAATCCTCCAACTGCTGTAGAGTAAAAGCATCCTGTACAATTCAGACAATAATTAATGAGAGGATACATATACTTTTGGGAGTAAATCTAAAATAGAATGTAGACAATATCGATGTAATAAGTAGTTGCCGAAATGTTAAGAATTGTGATGTTTTCTAATAAAATTAAACACACCTTGAGGGAAAGAAGCAAGCGACTTGCCACAAGAACCTTTAAGCAAGTCTGCATCATCAGCAAAAGCTACGTATCCATCAGCTGTAATTCCCCAAAAGAGAGGAACTTTACCAGCTTGATCCTGTAAAAACAAAACAAGCCAAGGTTGAGTAGAAAAGACTGAAGATCGTGACAAATTGATGGGATGGCTAGATAACTTACAGAAGCCACAAAGACTGTAGAAGTGGACTTGTCAAAAACTATAAAAGCAAAGCTCCCACTGAGGTGGCAAACAACACGATTGGCAGGGTAGGGTGCTCGATCACGCAAAGCTTTGTAAGCCTCAATCACCAAAATCACTTCACTGGCTGACTTGGCCAGTCCATACTGTTGTCTCAGACTGCCCAAATTGTCAAGAGCTCCCTCAAACAAGCAGAATATTTCATCCTTAACCGCAAATGATCTGACATTTTACAGTTAACATTTAGACCCAACACTGATACAGATAAAGAAATAGATTAAAAAGTTCAATGAGAAACAGTGAAACAGTGCAATCTAACTGAACACAAAGTGCACAATCTAAGTACAAGTGGCGTGCTGCTTTCAATGTCTATATAGGATAATAAGGATGTGCTGCTCAAAGCTCAAATACAAAGGTAAAATGTGCATTGCCCTTGTAATTTTCAATTTACAAGTTTTTTGCATCACTACTCCTATCAAGCATCATCTATGTGACACTTTTCTTCCCACAAGCAAAGCTTAAATTTCAAAATACTCAATTGACTTAATTAGTTTATAACTTAACAAATGAGGGACCTATTTTTTTGTTTTTGTTTTTAATATGAGAAGGAGTGGGTGAAGATTACCTTCACACAAAAGAAAGAAAGGAATAAGACATCCAACCTATCTTGATACCGCACTTCCACTACAGGTATGTTTATGTATATTTTAAAAATAAATAAAAATTCAAAAGCATATTTTAAATAAAAGCTATCCATCTGACTTTTGATTAAGAAAACTTCTTGACAAATGAATGAAAAAGAAAACTCCATGACAAGAATATAAATAGCTTCATCAAAGTGTTTTGAATCTTTTGCCGGGCCACCAACCTAACCTATCTTATCCTTATCTATTTATCTCATTCGTCCTATTTGGACAAAAAAGCAAAATAATAGAACGAAAGCAACAGTCCAGCCAGTAAAAGTCAGCATTTTGAGTGGAAAAAATCATACGCAATGTATAGACTAATAATTCAAATAGAACCCACCAGAACTGGCCACCGAATTTTTCATCTATTTCTCAAAGAAAACAAATTAAAACATAAACAATAATTACCAATAAATGATGTTCTAAATTATTCAATTTAGACTGTATTACCATTTTAATTTAGTTGAATTTAAGCATGATGAATAAATAATTAAGAGAGTAGTTGGTAGGGAGGCTGAAACAACACCAACTATAATATATAGAATTTTTATATTTAATAAATTTTAAAATAAAAATGGAACATAATTAAACATGCACAAAAAATTTATTTTAATTTTATTAAAAAAATATACATTAATGTAAACACTATCTAATTTATTTCACCGACATATATTAAAAATATTCAATTAATAACTGTTATTTCATTTATAGCCGTTAATAAAACTTTATAACATGTATGTTCGGTAAATATAATGTTAAAGTCAATATTAACTAAATATAAAATTAATATTAATATTAACTGATACTATAAGCTAATTTCAGTTTTTGACTTACACTAACTTGATAAAAAATTTCCTAATAACACTTTCTCAACAAAGATCAACCCCACTCTTATAAACCACAGAACATGGAAATGGATTCATCTCACTCTAGGATCCCATGTGAAAGGAAACTCGTAAGAATATTGAATATTTCATTCATCCAATTATATAAGTTAAAAATCATGGACATTCAAAATTATATAACAGCGTAAATTTATGTTTTTGATAACATCAAAATTCAGCGTAAATTTATGGTTTTGATAAATCAAAAATTCAAAAAGTAATATAAGCATTAAAGTTTATTCTGTGATCATAAATTAAACACAATTCTCTTACTTTATATTTTAAATAATAATTTTTAATTAAAATAATTACTTTACTAATTTTATCCTTTAATTTTTTATTTAACGTGTTTTTTCTTTTAAAGTTAACTATTTTTAAAAATTAAAATAACTATCTATGATAGAAAAGTTATTTATCAATCAATAATAAAATTATAAAAATTATTTGTATTTATATTTATATTTTACTTTTATAATAATAATTTTATTATTTTTATTATAAAAGTTGAACACATGCATATTTTCGCTAATAGTAATTATCATGGAAAGTCAAATAAGAATTTATCCACCAATTACGTCAAAGGATTTTTGTCTATTTAAATTAAAAGGATTTTTGTGTATTTAAATTAAATGAATGATGTTTTATACTGGATAATCTCTTTTAGCACAAAAATGAATCCATCTCTTTTGGAATAAAAAAAAACTTATATTTGTAATCTGAACAGTTTTGTTATATACTATTTGATTGTAATGGAAAAAACAACTGTGACAGAATCCATATTATGATGTATGATATTGCAGTATATTTTGAAATCTGGGTCAGAATGACCAATCATACTCCTCAACCCACAAATCTGTATGAGAAAAATCATTTAAAGACTTGAAAATTCATCAAAATATAACTCTGTAGAACACTATTTCATGACAGGTTGTTCAATGAAACAACTTTTTTTTACAATAATTTGGTTTCTTTTAAATAAAAAGTAACAAAAAAATTTATTTTAAGATAAATTCTATGATTAATATCATTTTATACTATCAAAATTTAAATATTAAGATACTTTTTGTTTTCATATATATTTTAAACATTAAAATTTATAACAAAAAAACTCATTTTTAACTTTTTATTGATATTCAATGAAAAAAAAATGTTTACAGAGTATTTAGCTATTATTTTATTGATATTAGTTTGACAGCAAATCATTTATGTTAAGATTTTAAAATTGAAATTAAATCATGATCACTTCAAATAGCTGTTTCGTTTTAAAAACCTTGAATAAAAAAAAAAGCAAATTGGTTTTTATGTTTTATTTAAGGTTTATGTTTCATTCAACAATAAATAACTTGTATTGGTTTTTCTTGATCAGGACAGAATGTGACAACAATACAACTCAAAATTGTGGGTGAATTCTCAAAACTGTGGATCACATCTTCTCTTCCTCTTCTCACATCAGAATCTCCCACTTTTCTCAGTATGATTAATAATTTAATTTTCTTCACTTTCCTCTTTGGCTGTGTGACGCTGAAATTATTGTTACTATAGAAATTAGATCATTCACCCACCCACTCCCAACAGTTAACATTATGCAAAATTATGCATTTTTTAAATTATTTTCACAATATTCTTGCGTCTAATCGTCTACCTGTTTTTTATTCTAAAAACTTGTCTTGTATAATTTTTTAGTCTTAGTTCATCATTTTATTATAAAATAATTAAAAATATTTATCAAAACTGAAAATATAACAAGTTTTACTTTCAAATAATACTATAAACATTGCTCATGAAGTTCCTAAAATATGCAATATAATTAAGTAGTCCGTGATCCATATGATCCACGCATCAATCAATCAGCAGCAAATGTTTTCACCAATCATGCTCTCGCATGATTTACATTAACAATAACCGATCCAACACGATTCTTCCATTTTGTGTCTGAAATTTTTAGAATCAAACAATTGATTAATTCCAATTTCTTAATTATACTTTGTAAACACTCTTCCTTCTATGTTTGGTGAGAATGAACACGATAACAAGTGTGTTAGGTGAAATTTATGAAATTTCAAAACATTTAAAAATACCTAGGATGCCAGGGTGATTCGCTGTGGTGTGTGTAAGCCAACTGCACATGTTCCCCCACCTGCAGCGACACCGCCGATGCTTTGCTTTCCACAAAACGTGTCAGCAGTTTCGCTGCTGATGTCTTTGGTGACGGTGTTCGACTGCCCGCGGCTACCAGCTCCTCGGGAGGCGACACCACAGAGCTGCTGAAGATTGCCAACATTTTTCTCTCTCTGAAATGAAAAAACAAAAATAAAAAAAAAATATCTCGCAAAAGTACACGGAAGTGAGAATGGATAGGAAGTGCGTATAGAGTGTGGGTTTCGTTATAAAGAGAAGGAACGAGGGTAGCACGGTCATTTCGTACATAAATTAAAAAATAAAATATTGATGTGTGAATAACTCCGTCTTTACCCATTGAAGAAAACAAAATAAATTGTTCGTTGGTGGGACCCATGCGAGGGTGATGATGTTTTGAGCAGGAGAATCAGGATCAGATACCTTTTTGGCTTTAGCCATTGTGATTATCATTACTCGGTATGGCATCAACACCGTCTGTTTTGTGGGTATGGATCCAGGATGGACAGGAGTTATCTCCTGCGGAATTGTGCAGAATTACTTTTGTTTGCACCTTCTTTCCATTTAGATATTTTCGGTGCAATGGATTGTATTTTTTTTTTCTTTATTATATATAGGTTTTTCATTCTGATGTACCGTATGAGTAAATGCACCTCAAAATTTCTTCCCATTGGTCATATCATGGTGAGAGTTCTTAAAACTCACAATTGGATTACCTGAGTCTACAAGGTTGTGAACAAGTCTCATGTTGCTTGTTTATTTCTTCAATTTTCCATCAAGATCTTAATATTTTTCTATGTGAAGATAGTTTTCCCTGTTTTTCTTTTGTGGATTTAAGTGTTTCCAACATCGTCAAATCCTTTCAAATTCTCTTCAAAAATATATGTTATGATATATTCTCTTTCCAACCAAAAATAAAAGAAAAAATATAATAAAACTTAAAAGAAAACGCAGAATGGTAATGTAAATCCTGTATGAAACATAAGAGAATAATACTCTCACAAGAGTAATGAAAACAGCAAAAATCCAAAATTTTATTCAGAATAGTTTGTCATGAGAGAAAGAGAGTGACAGAGAAAAGAAAGGAAAGAGAATGATGATTTGGTTGAGAAAAAAAATATATAAAAGATATGAAAATTGATATATCAATTTGATATTTATCATTTTATATGCTAAGAAGAAATGTGAGAAGATAACAGCATATATAGTGGAAAATGATTCATTATTTTCCTGCTTAATGTTGTTGTAATGTAAAATAATTATGGCCGACCCATAATCTTGTTACGACGTCAGCCTTCTTAAAAAATATGATAGATAAGAAATAAATAATAAAGAAATTGAATTCATTAAATAATGTTATAAGTAAAATTTTCATTTTTCTCCTTATTTTATTGTGAAATCTTATCCTTTTAAAATAATTTATTTTACATTTTATCCTTAAAATATGTTTATGTTTGTGTGTATGTGTGCTTATTTGTGAGTGTGTTTGTGTGTATGTGTATGTGTATTTATCTGTAAGTTTATGTGTTTGTTTGTGATTTTGTGTATATGTGATTTTGTGTATATATGTGTTTGTGTATATGTGTGTTTGTGTATATGTGTGTTTGTGTCTCTCTTTGAGTATGTGTTTTTTATTAGTGCTGTCAAAATATATTAGAACCTGCGGACCAACTGATCCATCATGGGTTTTAGTCCGATTGAGTTTGGAAAAAGTGAAATTATTTTAAACGGACTAATTTTCAACCCGACTCACTTGGGTTGAACCCGTGGTGAATCGAATTTAATTATTTATTATTTTGTGTTTCAATATTATTGGTTAACATTTTTTGATTGTATTGTAAATGAAAATAAAGAAAAATATGTTTCAAAGAGAGCAAAATATTATAAATTTATCGATTAAAGACTGTAATCTTATAAATTGAGAAGTGATACAAAAAATATCAATATTATAAACTTATTTATTTACCTTTTGGATTTGTTTTTGGATTACATTTAAACTTTATGTTAATTTTTTATATTTTTGGATTGTTTTTAGAATTTAACATCATTTTAGAATAAAATTATTTAAATTTAAATTATAAACAAATTATATATTTTTTAGATTTAAAAAAAGTTATTGTTTTAAATATCTAGCTTTCCAATGATATAATATTTTTAACATTTTTAGTTGAACATATATTCCTCTACAGCTCTTAGACAACAACACCCAACCCCAAACATTACATTTTCAAGCCAAAATAAACTCGATTTAACTTATATCTATTTACAATAAAACTTTTTAATTAATAAAATAATTAAATAGCTTTTATAAAGATTATTTTCCCTCTAAAGTATTTTTTTAGAGCATTACATATTTATTATATGTGTGAATGATCTTAATAGTATCTATTTACGTGTATACGAAAATAACAATTCATTTTTATTTTAAACATATAACTGTTTTAATAACAAAGTAATAGCCCATAATTTTAACAAATTAAAATTGATTTACTTTTTTTGTCAATCTTAAACATATGAAAAAAAACACATATAAATTATTTTTCTTAATTTATTGAATGAGAGAAAAAAGTGAGAATCCTCTTTTCGACTCTGACTCTCCCACTCCAGTTGATGTTTGAACCAGATCAAATAACTCAATCCCACAAAACCGGCTTGTAAAATAAAGTTTGCATTCACTTATATATTATGAATTGACTTTATCTCTATTGATGTGGAACTTCCAACATTAATGAATTCTAATGAAATATTTGTTAAAAGATTATTATTCTAATACATAAAAACCACTATTTGTTTCAATTACAAAAAAAACTTTTCTAAAGTATACTAGATATTAAAAAAATTGTATTAGAGTGTCTAATAATTTTCAATAATTATCTGTAGATCTTATCAACATCAACAATAAAGTGTTCGTGAATATAAAATTATTTTAAGTTGATAAATCGTGATGGTTAAGCTTAATGTGCTTTCATTAATATCTTTACGTACTTGTTAACAATTTAATTAATCTTAAGAGAAGTACAAGGGACGAGACAGAAAGCATTATATATTACACAAGTTAGAATATATGTTACTTTTTATTGGTACGAGAATATAACCAATTGTATAATATAAAAGCTAATATATCCCACAACGAAGTTTATATAATATGCGAATTTAGTTTTTTATATTTAAAAAGTTATGTGAAGTCAGTTTTCTAATTTATAAAGATACGTGATTTTAATTTTCTATATTTTAAATTTAATATTTAATGACCATTTTTACCATCATAAAATTATAAAAAGAAATATAAGTTTACAAGATACATGATATCAGTTATTTTAAATTTAATTTTTAATAGTATTTTTTATATTACAAACTTAATGAAAAACTAAAATCATATATTTTTAAAAATTAAAAAACTGAATTGAAGAATTTAAAAATATAAAACAAAAAGATAAATTAAAAAAAAATTACAGGAACAACAACATATTAAATGCTGTTTCTTAATGTTACAGCGCTCATCAATACTTGCAATGTATTATTAATTTTTTAAATGCTGTTTTGATTTGTAAATAGATATATTTTAGATACAAATTATTTAAATAATCTCTTTTAAACAAATAAAAAAAGTGAAAGGTGGACATGACTCTTCAGTCTTAATTTTTTTTTAAATTTATTCTTAACTTTTTCTTGGTATAAAATTTTTTCTTCAATATTATATTTTATTAATATATATATATATATATATATATATATATATTTATATATATATATATGCATTAAGATTTGTTTTATTTTTTTTCCTTCTCAATGTGTCCGTATTTGTTCTTTAATGCTGTAATAAAGTTTAATGTCTAAATCACCGACAAGTATGGTGGAAATTAACGCCACAGTAGCTTAAATAGTAATAGTTTTTTAGATATTTCTTTCAGTCTTTTTTGGTCATTTTCAAAAGTTGTCATCTAAAATTTCAAAATTATTAAGTAATTAAATTACAAATGTTTTTCAAGATTTTGTTAAAATAACTTATAGATACAACCAAAGATAGCAACCTGGGATGGAAGTAGGACTGTATCATTTTCATTTCAAAATTTCAAAATTTCAAAAGTAAAACTATTTTTATTTGTGCAGCACAATAGATATATTCGTATTTACTATTTTATTACCTTAAATATTAATTAAGTATTTTTATAAAATATCATATTATCAAAAAAAAATTCTTTGATATCCAATATCAAAAAACAAATTATAAAATTTAATAGTATTTTTTTCCTGTATTTATAAAATGATTCAATATTTTTTCTTTATTTATTTTTTACTTAATGGTCTCTATATTTAAAAAAAAATCATTTTTTAAATTATTACTTTATTTTTGTTTGTAGGATTTGACAAATACATAAGAAAAACGGATGATTGTATTAATTATATTTGTATCAAAGATTCATTATATTATCTTTATTTAAATTTTTAATTAATGGTCTCTATACTTTTTAAATAGTCCCAAGGTGATGTTTTAACATCATTCCTTATTCTTTTGTTCCAAAAATTGGATAACAAATATATAAAAAGAAGTGGATGATTATATTAACATATGTCAATTCACCATTTTTTAGGCTGTGTTCTTTTAGATGGATTTGAAGGAGATGATTTTGGAGAGATGATTTGAATGGATTTTGGTGAATTTGAGGGTGATTTTTTTGTTGTTTCTTTGAGTGGATTTGTGGGTAATTAAGAGTGGATTTGATAGTAAAGTTTGTGAGAATTAGTGTAGGATTTGATTGATGTGACAGATAAAACAAAATTGTTTAATTGATAGAAATTGAAGATTACCAAAATATCCCTAATTATTAAAGTGATATAAAATGATAATTTTTAATGTTATATTTAATTGTAAAAATGTTTATAAGAAAAAAAATAAAATTAATTATTAAAATGTAAAAAAATATTAATTTAGTAAATTGAAATAATAATAATTATTATTATTATTATTAATTATTATTATTATTATCATTATTATTATATTATTAACTATGTATAATATAAAAATAAAACAATTGTGATGTTAAAAAAATTTATATAAAATATTTTGTCAAGAGAGACAAAACAACGTTCCCTTCACATCATATAAAATACTATGTTTGTTATAAAGTTGGGCAGGAGGAGTAACTGTGTTTCATGTGGTCTGTGCTTCTTCACAGGGGTAGAAAAGATTTTTCAGCATAATCACCTCCAGATCTCGTTGCATTCCT